AAATTCAAACTCAGCAATCATTTTGAGTTAATGTAACAGACAGAATTGCAGCAAAATTCAAATTTTAATTATGTCTAGAATTTATATCTAGCAATGTTATATGCACGGTTTTCAAATGAATCATTGACAAATTAGGAAATTCAACCAAAAGCAACACATTATAACATCCCTTGGAAGAAAAGAAAAATGTACCTGAAGTCTTGGATTGATTATAACCGTATCAACTAAAGACAACAAACTTCCACGATGCTTTTTTCACCTTATAAATAAAAAAGTAATGCAAAAACTAAGTGAAACTAAACTAAATAGCAAAAAAAATTTATAAGAAAACAGTAAACTATAACTAAATAAACTTAATTGCATAATATCTTGACCTTCATCACCTTTTCCAACTAGAATTATATAATCAAACACATCAATGTCACTAAATCATAACACTAACTCAGAAAAAGATAATCCTGATACATTAATAGAATCCAAAAATCAAAGATCAATAGAATGACAAAGTTTCTCATATCAAAACTGAAGAGCAAATCTCATAATCGCATACCTCAAAAATAATAGTATATGGACATATATTTTTTGTTGAGCGTATGATACATTACATTATTTCATTCTCTATTACATGCTAAGATGGACAACTTGACTTTACATCCTTATGTCCCAATATACTATGCACAATGAAAAAGTTTCAAACTTTTTCATACATACAAAAAGGTCATGAGAAAGTAAATAAAATTTCACTGAGTATGGCTCAATCAATATTATTTTATAGATTAAGCTAAACAACTCAACATACAAAAGGCAAAATACATTCTTCAAGTAGTAAATTTTAGATTAAATGCATTTGAACCATAGCAGTCTTCAGTTTGCGCATTAAACAAGATTTTTTTTTTTTTAAAAAAAAGAGGATAGCCGGTTTAATTTATTTGTAAATAGAAGAACTAAGGAAATTTCTTTTCTAACTATGAACCCAGACAGAGAATAAAGGAAATTGAAGATGCATGCTAAAATGGAGGGGTAAGTAAACTAAATATATTTTGTCAGTCCTATGGTCCCCCCTATTCTTACAGAAAAAGATGATTTATTGGATGGATGCTTGTATTTCAAACTAATGAGTATTTTCCTATGGACAAATGTTGTCCATATCTCTAAGCTGATAATCGTCCCTACGGTGGAGGAGTCAAAGAGTCTACATTTGCAAAATAACATGCACAACAAAAACAATTCTAGAATTTAACTTCATAATCTAGATTAAAGCACATGATACAACAAAATCAGCATAAACAGAATTCTCTAACATAAATAGTATGACAACAGAATTTAAATGTTTAAGAAACATAATTCTATCACGTAGACAAAAAAAAACTTTCAAAGTTTAAGAAAAATAACTCAATAATCCTTTCCCAAATATTTTGCGAAGCAATCAAAAGGTATACTTATTTAGGCTCATCTTCATTTCATCAAAGATAAACTTATCAGTGAAGATAACAAAAGATGACTTCTTATCATTTGTTGTTAGGACGTCAAATCAACATATTAAAGCTCTTTGTCAATCTAATTTTCAAACATTGAAGTAAAGCTCCCACAAAATATCAGCTGAAGTCCCTAATTTTGCAAACACCAATACAAATTCGACAGTGCAGGTGTAGAACTAACCATGAGACAGAATAAAGAGACATTAAAGATTCTTGGAAGAGGAACAGATTCTTGGAAGTACCACGACAGTTGACCTATTTCAACAATTAAATCAAGCTCATAACTTACTCCAACTGAACTGCAAAAAAAAAAAGAGTCAAAAATCACAATAAAAATCTCACACTAATTAATCTGAAATACCACGCAACAAATTCAATAAAACAATCTACATATACACTATCTCAAAAAATAATTGAAGAAAACGATTGTAACTGGGGATAAAATTGAAGGTGAATGGCAAAAGAGTCAGGAAGGATGCTCAAGATTATTTATAAGAGACATAAAACCAAACAGATTGCTTATGATTGGGCGGACTTCAATCTCGTCAAGGCAATGGCGATGACAAATAGTGCCGCTGGCTATAGGAATCGGATACCTTGACTTGCTTCCTTAATTTATCAACGATGGATGGTTTTTGAGGAATGAGAGAGAAGAAGCCGTGAGGATAAAGAGAAAGAAAAAAGAAGAAACCTATTTTATATCTTCAAGGTCTTCATGAATACAGTGGATTCATCACCATTTATCAAACCTCCAATATAGATCAAAAACTCATCGTCATCATCGATTCTGGAATTTATTCTCTGATTTTATTCATAGTTTTTCAGATTGAGGAGAGGTCGGAGGTGCAGGGTAGGAAGAAAGAGAGACCGTGTGGAGGAAAAAATGAAATAGAGGCTGACCGATTGAAAATCACCTATACTAATCCCAAAAAATATTGTAAACTATATGAGGATTGTAGATTCCATTTTGAGCGCATTCTGGAAAAGTGTAGAATAAAGTTCATTTGGGCGGTACATAATGAAAAGTAGAGCTTCTCAAATTCTTTCATCATTATGCCCAAGTATCGCAACCAAAGAGGCTACCGTGTTTCAGGCTTACTTGAATCTTCCGCCACCGGCATGCCCTCTAGAAAGGTTAATTTGTTTCTGGTTTAAGGTATTTCCGGAGGGAAGAAGAGAAAGAAAAAGGAGCAAAAATAAAAATTAGGTTCACTTACCAAATTAATTTGAAGGATTTAAATTTGCATTGGAACTTGGATGAGCATATACATTGAATGACCTATAAAGTGTAAGCATGTTAACTTCTTTTAGGCGGAGAATAGAGAAGAGATGGGCGGTACAATGCCTCAAACGAAGTTACTCCCTCCATTTTTTTTTATATGTCTTTCTAGAGAATTCATCAAAACCAAGAAGACATTAATTAATGTAGTTAAAATACAAATTTACCTTCATTAATTTTCTATAAAATCTATCACAAACCAATAAAAATTCATTATTAATATTGTTTCATTTCCGATATAAGGGCATTTTGGTAAAAAGTGGTCAAATGTGTCTCGATTTGTGAAAACGACATATATTTAAAAAAATTTACCAAATCCTAAAACGACATATATTTTAAAATAGAAAGAGTATTTGTGTTAATTTATTATACTGTATTTGATTAACATAGGAAATGCCATGGACAAAACGAATTGGCTTGCATATACACGGTGGGTTAGCTTGCCCACAAAACTCACTATCAAAACATGACATATGAAAAATAACAATAAAACAAAATTAAAAAAATCCAGAAAATGGCAAGTGGAATATGAGGCATTTTGGCAGAATTTGGAATAACCTGGTGAAGACACGTGGACTGAGAGAAGATGAACTGGTGGAAAAACCTGATTTATGACTTGTATTTTAGTAGATAGAATGATTAAATCCGTTTAACCATTCGTTTCACACCACTTTCTCTAAGTTCTTATCCCCAATCTCTTAACAAGTGCTTTCAAAAGTTTAAAACCATCTTAAAAAAAAAAAAAAAGAAAAAACGTACGTGCTACGTGCAACCCAATAATGAACGAGTAAATGGAATTTTCAATTCCGTTTCTCGTAGCTCCAAAAATTGGAATACACAGAAAAGAAGTCAAAGGTCGTTGACCGCATTCATGGGAGTCGTAATACTGTTAATTACAATTGAGCATGCCTAAATTTACCAACAATACATGGGTTTACACAAAACAGGAGACCCATAAACTTTGTCTTATTCAATAATGCCCTTTTGTTTTCCTCTAAGAAACTCACATTAGAAACACACCAAGAACAAATTCTCCCACTAACGGACTAAAATAATAAATGGGTTCCGACATTTTCTAGAAAATAGCTAATCTAACACTTGAAGTTCGAAACCGCGTGGCTTTTTTTAAGTAGTACGTATAGTTTGTTCTGATATCTGGATAACGGCGCCTATAAAATCTCAAGTACTGTTGTTCGTTGGAAAGAAAATGAGAATCGGCAGGTCTAAATGCATCATCAAAGTCAAATTCTAAAGACTAGTAGTATTATACTAAGTTGTGAAACATATACCCTGCATTTAAATTAATTTTTCAATCGATCTTTTTGTAATCTTCACCTTTCATAACATTTTGTATTTATCTTTTTTTTTTCCTTTTATATATATCCCTCAGGAGATAGAAATTTGCACAAGATGGGCAGTTAGTGGCGGAGCAAGGAAAGACGGAGGAGTGCGGTCGCCCCTGCTAAATTTTTTTGTAGTTAGTAGAGATGTCCTAAATTTTTAATAAAAAATTATATATTTTATAATTTTCGCATCCCATACATTAATTTATTAGTAAGTTTTTCTAAATTTTACACCCCAACTTAGATTTTCTGGCTCCATCAGTGTGGGCAGTGGACCGATTGATTTGGAAGCTGAGGTACCGCCTTTCCTATATGATAAACCTAATTTAAATAGGAGTTGCCTAATCATGCATAGTACCCTTATATAAATAGGTGATTTATCTTTTGTTTACACATTCTCTACAAAAACTTTGTGTCTGTTTCGTTTTTTCAATGTGTATTTTTATGTGTTTTTTGTATTCGGAATGTAAAAAAGTGTATTGAAAATGTAAAAAAATATATTAAGATGAAATAGTTATTATTAAAATAATCTGAAAAAAACCATCCAAAAAACCAAACAAACAAAGCCTTACCTTTTCTACCTCATAAACTCTAGTTAATTTCATTATCAAAGTCGTAGCCTCTAATTTGTAGGCTTTATTCTGTTTTGTAGGTTTTAAACACGCTTCTCAACCCTAAATCATCATCTACGTCAACCTTGACGGGTTTTCGAGCCTTGTCAAACGTCAATTTGTAAACTGTACCTGGGAGAGTCATTTAAGAGGTACCAAACTATGAATGATACAAATATTAGCATTTGTGAAGCTAGATGTGTATATATATATATATATATATATATATATATATATATATATATATATGGACCAATTTATCGTGTTTAGTTTAACACGTATGACGTGAATTCTAAAACGAATAGAAGAAACAAAGTTTAGTGGACCAACGTTTTGCAAACCCACGAAGGAGAGAAAAAGAAAATAAAATCTGAGAGTCATTTAAATGTCAAATTGACGCAAAATATGAGCCATAATGTCCAAATATCCCGTAAAAGTGCAAAGACGTAAAACTTTCAATTAACCATTTTCTAATCCTACCTTTTTTAGGCCTATCTTTTTCCCCCATTTCTCTTCTTCACTCTCTCGGCGCCTTAGAACAGAGCCTCTCTCTCTCGTCTCTATCTGTTCAGTCCACTTCAGATCATTAACAACAACAACACAGACCTCTTACCTCACGAATCGATAATCATTATCATGTAAGAAAATTTCATCTCCTTTTTCTTCGGTTTGGGTGTTAGATTTTCTCTCTTTTTTTTTTTTTGGGGCTTAGGCCAAGTCGCTGGAGTGTAACTGTCTCCTCCTTAAATTTTGTTTTCAAAATCTCAAACAGATTTTTCTCACCCTAAAGTTTCTCTCCAATTAGGTCGGGTTTCCATTTCTTCTGACTCGGATTTTCCATGTCAAATCGTTTATGTATGTGTTTTGTTTATGGGTACAGGGTCTGTGTTCTGTTCTTGAATTGTTCAAAGGCGCCATGAGTGAGTTCCATGACTTGTTCTTCCTCTGTGTCTGTTTTGTTTTTTTTTTTTTAATCCTCTGTTTCTTTGACATCCCAACTGAATTTTTTTGCTGAATTTGATGCTATTTAAAGGGAAGGGGATGGCAGTTGGGCTTTTGCATTCTGCAACCTCTGTCTCCACAATCATGGGTTCTGTTACCCAGTTTGTCGTGGCTTCCTTGTTATTCTCTGTCTCCAAATTCTTCCATCCTCTGTTTCGTTTCTTCGTATCTTTATTACTCAGGTACTCTTATTACTTTTCAATTCATCTGCTGAGTGTTGTCTTCTGGTTCTGCATAAATTTTCCATTAATTCGATTCTGTTTGGTTGTAGGTTGCATAATAATAATGGAGGTGTTTCGAAGGAAAGTTTTGACCGTCCCGTGGCAATCTCAGAGGAAAGCGATAAATCTGAACACTCGGAATTGGTCAAGTCAGAGCCGAAATTGGAGGCAAATGTGGCGGGACCGGAAATGACAAATTTTGTTGGATTCACGCACTCCGAGGATGATTCCGAGGAAAAGGAGCCAGAGCCGGAGTTCTCTTTCAGTTTCAGATTCCCAACTTTTGAAGAATTCTGCCAAACTGGTGGTCCTGTTACTACCGATTTCCTCATTTGTGAAAAAGAAATTGAAGACGTCCAAATTTTCAATTCCGACCCACCTGTTTCTTCAGTTAGCAAAAGCGAAATCATGCCTTCCGACGGTTTTCTCGTCTCTCCGGACATATCGCCGGTGATAAGCCAGTTTCATTCCGAGGAGGAATCCGTGGTCACCGATTGCCGTTCTGGTTCGGTTAATCCGGACATCGACGGTGGTGATGGGTTTTTGTCGGACAGAGATTTCGGTGAGAAAGTTGAATTAGTCCATGATATTGGGGAATTCGACGATTTTGATTGTGATGAACAAGGAGATAGCGACAAAACGGATGAACTTCCTACGTTAGAGGATCTAGGATTCGAGAAGAACGGAGTAGATATCAGTATGAATCAACCAGATAATGAAATGACGTCAGAGTTTTTATCTGAGGAAGATTTTCATCACCATCAAGAAAATTCAAACCAGGACACAAAACGTGTGGTCGGTGGTGTTGGTGACAAGGATGATGACACGGATGTGCCCACAACAACAACGAATGGTTCTTATGATTCTGAGAAGTTAAGGTCAAAGGATGATGAAGAAGCTGAAGCCGACGAGGATGCGAGCAAACTGGAAACGCTGTGGGAACACCAGGATTTAATTGAGCAGTTGAAGATGGAACTTAGAAAAGTCAGAGCCACGGGTTTACCCACAATCTTAGAGGAGTCTGAGGATTCGCCCAGGATTTCAGATGACTTGAAACCATGGAAGATTGACGAAAGGTTCCACCGTGAAGAATGCATGGACGAACTTCACAAATTCTACAAGAGTTACAGAGAAAGAATGAGGAAATTCGACATCTTCAATTACCAGAAGATGTATGCAGTAGGTCAGTCTTTTCTTCCTCTCTTTGTTTGATCCCTTTATTCGTATTGACTTCAATTTGCAATTTGACGGTAATTAGGAGTATTATGGTCACAATTGAGTGTTTTTCTTGCATTCATTTCTCCTCTTTTTTTTTTTTTTGATTGGGTCCTCTGTGATCATTGCCCATGATTATCATCATAAATCACTGGTCTTAAGCCAATCAGTGATTCATGGACATTAAGAACCAACGCAATGAGGAGCTATTGTGATTCATAATTACAATTGCGACCCACAAAATCTGGTTTAGTGGGTCTCCTTAACAACACAAAACATACGAGTATTGCTCAGTTGTAAAGCATTTTAGTGATTGAGTGCTCACTGACAATGAAGGCTAATGAATGTCTCTTTCTTTTGTGCTTTAATATTTTAATTGATTGAATACCGGGGTACTAAAATAATGGGTTGATTACAGTAGTAGTTTTCTACAGTTGAAAAGTTAAAATTTATGTTTAGTACGCAACCACCAGGTGAAGAAACAGGCAATCTACAACTCACGTTTGCATCTGTGTTTTACTTGGTAAATTAATAAGATGCTCCTCCATCTACTCCTGATCACCAAATGTTCTTAGACCTAAAATCCCACTAGGGTCAATGCAATTTACCTAAACAAAGACCACATTTTTGGCCTCTTTAGAAGTGGAAAATTGAAGTTGTTGCCCGCCATTATAGTTGACAATTAGGCTGCTCTCTACTTCAGATGAGAATGTTTTAAGTGCTTAGTCATAACTTGAAACTCTATTTTATGCCTGAGACATTTGGTTTTTCATGTTTAAATTATTCTATCACCAGTTAAGTGGCTCCACCATGTCTGTATAACTTGTATTATTGTCATTTTCACTTGAAACAAACCGTCGGTGAATGACTTTGAAAAGCTTTTCAACGGCGGAGAAAATCTTGGAAATGTGAATGAATTTGGAATTATGTTCCTTGATTTGCTCTTGTTGGTTTTATGTTTGTCACCTGACCGTGCATTTTAATGCCAGGTTTTCTTCAGCTGAAAGATCCACTTGAACCAATCTCAGGTCCTAAACCTTCAGGTCCAACCTTCAAATCCCTACTTTCACAGAATTTTTGGCCGCTCAAACCTAAAAGCAATGACAGTGATCCCATGATAAAGTTTATGCAAGAACTACAGAGTGATCTGGAAGTGGTCTATGTTGGACAGATGTGTCTTTCTTGGGAATTCTTACATTGGCAATATGGAAAGGCCTTGGACCTGTGGGATTCTGATCCTCGAGGCACTCATCGGTATAACGAAGTTGCCGGGGAATTCCAACAGTTTCAAGTGCTCTTGCAAAGGTTTATAGAAAATGAACATTTCCAGGGGCCAAGAGTCCAATATTACATCAAGCAGCGATGCCTATTCCGAAACCTTCTCCAAGTTCCCGTTATAAAAGGTGAGATTTGCAAAATCACCAGATTCAATGGCACTTGTGAATCTGATTTATGAAATTTCGTGTTCATTTTATCATGAGTTCAGTTGTAACATTGTCCTCACAAATGTGTTCTGGTTTTGCTAAATTGCAGAAGATAGTTCAAGAGATAAAAGAAAGGGAAAAGGAGAGAGAGATGAGTACATCATTTCAAGTGAGATGCTGGTGGAAATTCTGGAAGAATCAATAAGAATTTTTTGGCGGTTTGTTCGAGCTGATAGAGATTGTAGTAGTCCTGCAGTTAAAGGCCATAAAGGAATACCTGCACAAGTTAAAAATCCGGATGAATTGGAGCTCCTGATGGAGATCAAAAGAGTTCTTCACAAGGTTTCCCCTCTCGTTTAGATGTCAAGTTTAAGCTATATACGTTAAGTTTTACTACTATCTAATTTCCAAAAATATTGGTTTAAATTATACTTTAATGTATTATACTACATTTTCAATCTCTTGAATGTAACGGCTTTCTTCTAATGCAGAAGGAGAAGAAGCTAAAAGACATTGTTAGAAGTGGAAATTGCATACTGAGGAAATTTCGACAGTGCCACGAAGATGATGTAGATCAAGTGCTTTACTTCTTCTCACAAGTAGATATGAAGCTAGTTTCCAGAGTCCTAAATATGACAAAAATAACCTCTGATCAACTAGTATGGTGTCATAGTAAACTAAGCAGAATTAATTTTGAGAATAGGAAAATACAGGTAGACCCCTCATTTCTGCTATTCCCCTGTCAATAGTCTTTTTCCTTTTTTTTTGGTTACTTGTAATGTAAATTGTAGATATGGAGTTAGACATGTCAAGAGAGGCATACAACCTCCAAATTTTGGTCCTGGAAATCTGCTTTGAGTTTGGTGATTTTGTGGTGGTAAAAGGCCATCCATTTTACCAAAAGCTTGAGTTTTTCAACTCTGCTATAAAGATTTAGTTCGATCGAAAGCACAACTGCAGGGTTTAACTGTGGTGTTTCTGTCAGAGTATGATGCATTTGGTACGTTCCAGATCTTAGTTGAGTTTTGCTTTTGAAGTTAAAAGAAAATTTTTCAACGAGAATCATGATGTTGTTCATGACTCAGGCCATGTTCCATAAGATCTCACCTAACCTCAATGATAAACTGTTATGAATGAGCTGGACAAGTTAATAAGTTATAATTTTGCTTTTGTTCCGAAATAAGAGTATTAGTTTAGTTTAACAAACACGACTCTCTTTCTTGGAACGATTGGAGTATTCCATCATGAAGACCTTCATTGTTGGCTCTTTGGGATGAATTATGTGCTTTTACATATGCTGCTGCACTACCTCATCCATCCAACAAACACTCTGCCCAAGAATCTCTACACAGGACATAGCTAGAAGCATAATTCTGATTTCCGACCAATTTTATGAACAACGGAGTGATACTCTTCTATCACCATGAGCACCCATGGATCTCATGAGCTAGCTACATAGAAACCCATAAATTTTTCTTTGGAATTTTTATTTATTTATTTTTTTGTAAAAGGTTAATATATATTAATTTCTCAAAACAAAACAGTTTTTGTACAACTTTCCATCTTTACACCATCACTACTAACAATGTCAAACAGTAAACCCTGTACTCTCAAAAAACTGCTTTTTACTTTGCCTAACATTTTTACAAATTACTTGTATTCTCCAATGAATTTCACATTGAATTTGCTTTACCACATTATTCACAGCCAATTTCGGACCTCTATGTTTGAATGCCATTCCTCAGCCTTCAGATTCTGTACACTTCAGCAGCTAACACCCCAATCAGCAACCTCTGCTTATATTTGTTCTACTTCCAGATATTCATCAGCCAAGTTTTCCATCTAGCTATACATTTTGGAATTCTGTCACACCTCAGCCAGTCTTTCAGTTGTTGTAACACTAACTTGGAAAACTGACACTTAAAAAATAAGTGTTCCAAACACTCCTCTTCAGCTAAACAGAGTACACATTGCAGTGGTTGATCAATAATATGTAACTTCAGCAATCTGTCAGAAGTAAGAAGTCTTTCCTTCATCACTAACCACATAATAAAACCGTGTCTTGGGATATTATATTTATTCCATATCAGTGATGCGTCCCTCATTCTTGTTCCATCACCTCTCAGCCATCTGTATCCTGAATTAGTAGTATAATTCCCATTCTTTAATCCTGTCCATTTCCCCTGCACAACCCCTTCCTTCATTCGGTCCTTTACAGCCATCAGCTTCTTCCATACCAACAAGCTCTCAAAGATGGTTGATAATCCCATACTGCCATACCTTTTAAGTAGTATTCATGACACCACTTAACCCAAAGATTGTCCTTTTTGGTAGTTAAACTCCAAACTTGCTTACCTAGACCAGCCAGATTCCATACTTCAGGTTCCTTGATGTTTAAGCCTCCCAATTGCTTTGGTTTACAAATATCATCCCATGCTACCAAAGCATAAGCTCTACCAGTTTGTTTTTTTCCCTAGAGGAAATCTCTACACACTCTGACAATATGCTTAATGATACTTTCCGGCAACATGAAAATGGAAGTCCAGTAGGTATGTAATGCCATCAACACTACATTAACCAAAACCACTCTACCTGCATAGGATAAGTGCCTTGTAGTCCAACACTTAATCCTTGCAGTCACTTTGTCAACAAATAGCTAACAGTCTACAGCATTTCATTTTTTAGGAGACATGGGAACTCCTAAATACTTCATATGAAAGCTACCTAGACTAAACTCCATTATATTCTTGATTTTCATCTTAACTTCTTCTTTAACACCACCAAAGTAAATATTTGATTTACTAGGGTTTGCCTTAAGGCATGTTGTTGCTGAAAATCCTTCTAACACCTTTTTAACTCTTCTAACAGTTTGCAACTCAGCTTTGCATAAGATGATTAAATCATCAACAAAACTGAGATTTGTGATCTGCAACTTTTTACATTTCGGGTGATACAGAAAACCTCCTAAGCCAGCTTCAAATTTAAACATCCTATTAAGGTACTCCATACATAGTACAAACAACAAGGGGGACACAGGATCCCTTGTCTTAACCCTCATTTCCATTCAAAAACCCAACTAATCCTCCATTCATACATAACGAAAAACTGCTTGTAGTAATACATTCAGTAATCTAGGCAATAAACTTACTTGGGAATATATATGCAGCTAAGAGTTCTTCAATAAACTTCCAAACAACCGAGTCATAATTTTTTTGGAAATCCACCTTCATTAAGCATCTTGGGGAGGCATTTCTTCTGTTGTATAGCTGAATCATTTCCTGTGTCAAAAGAATATTGTGCAGTATCAAACGATCTTTTACGAAAGTCCCCTGGTTCTGATCTACCAGGTATGACAACACATTTAACAGCCTATTACTGATAATCTTTGGAAATTTAAATTGGTTAATATACATTAATTTTAAATTAGATTATTAGGGAATTCGCAAAAAATAAATAATAATAAATAAAAAAAATTCATAGTGGCGTTAACAATTGATTTATTCAAAGTTGATTTAATGTTTTTTTTTTTTTGTTTTAAGAACTAAAACTAATTTATTTCATTCCCATAGTGTCTCCCTAACTTCTTTCTGTATTTGAATTGAATGTTTTTAATTTTTAATTTTCCAAATTAAGATTGAAGTTTAGAGAATTTTTCCTTTAATCATTTCTTAAGTTAAAGCTATTATATTATCACAGATGATTTCAAAAATTTTAAAACTGGTAAAGTTTACAAAGTTTATTTTCATAAAGAATATTTGTAAAAAATAGCGTTTTTCTATCGGCCTGTTAGGGGGAGAACCTAGCCCAATAAAAGTTTGGCCTGTTAAAGGCTTTTGTTGCCGTCGGATCTAGGTTTATTCCCCCAAGATATAAATACCTTTATCTTCGTCTTCACCATTCCCTTTGGCTCAGTAATATAACTCAGCTGAATTCAGAGACGCCCGCCTGAGTTGTTTTAGCCGGAGTAGAACAAGATGGTTCAGAGGCTCACTTATCGGAAACGCCATAGTTACGCTACTAAGTCCAATCAACACAGGATTGTCAAGACCCCTGGTATACTCATTTCCCTGTTTTTGTTTTCTTTATGCTCAATGATTTCCTTAAAAGATCTGTACTGTTGTTCAATTGTTGTTTCGTTTGTATGATTTCTAGTGTTAGTATTCAGATTTTCGATTGATTCCCTTAATCTTGTTAGGTTTTCTTTGGGTTGTTTGCGATTTACTACTATTGAAAATAGCTTATTTATCTGGTTTCATTTGGATGGTTAAACAGGTGGGAAGCTTGTATACCAGACTACCAAGAAGAGAGCTAGCGGTCCTAAATGTCCTGTTACTGGTAAAAGAATTCAAGGGGTATGCCTTTTTCTTCCCCCTCTTGCTAATTTTTTTTTTAAATATATATATATATATATACATACATACATACTAGTTTTTAATGTTCTTTGCAAATATACTTCTTGCTGTTTGATGCTTTTTTCCCCCAGACCCCAACCGAGTTGGTATTATACTGGGTATGTTGTTGTTTGATGCTTTTCAATGCCACCTTTTTGTGGGGCTTGTCTGGATTTTTTCATTTTGTTTTAGTTTTGCTTAGATGGTCTTTCTTATACTCTGTTATTACTTTAGCTTAGGTGAAGTTTAGCTGATGAATATGGTACAGCATTCTGTTCCTTGAATCTTGCCTATGATTGATTACTACTAGTACATATCAATCTTGTGTTCTTGAGTTAGTCTTGTACTTAGTACCATTCTCACAAAATGTAGTATAAGGAATGTGGCTATTAGGATCGGGATTAATGGCATGCCCATAAATGTCACTCTGTCTCTTTGGAGAAAACTCTCGCATGTCGTAAAGGTTCAGTGGTGTTTGTAGATGACATTGTCAAGAGGTTATATGGGTTCTTTTGGTGGATTGTATGGCGATTATAATTGGCTATTTTTAGTGTACATAAGATTTCCTGCTTTAAAATTGCAAATGGTGTGAATATTGTAAGCCTTACTTTTATGGTTTTGTTTCTTATCTTTACTTCAAGCAATTCAGAAATGTGTTTAAATGTATGACTTGGTCAAGTGATTTTAGAATGTAATGATTCTACGTTGGAAGGACTGCTTTTGTTTGGAGAGATTTACACTATTTTGCTGCTGTATTGTATCTTTAGGGCGTGATTTGAGTTCAGTCTTTGAATTGTTGTGGCCGCAGTGCATCTCCCACCATTTTAGATGATCTTTTTGGATGTATTGTTGAATAATGTGACCAGATACCTGGAAAAGGCATTTCATTAACCATTCAAAGGTTTTGCTCTACTTTCATAGATTCCTCACCTGAGGCCTGCTGAATACAAGAGGTCCAGATTGCCAAGGAACCGCAGGACAGTCAATCGGGCTTATGGAGGTGTGCTATCCGGGAGTGCTGTCAGAGAGAGGTGTGTTGTACATATGTATTTATGTTCTGCTGTTGCTTCTTTGAAAGTCTCTTCATTTAGTATGCGTCCAGTGTAAACTAATGTTAAGCACCTCTTCTCACAGGATCATCCGAGCTTTCTTGGTTGAAGAACAGAAGATTGTCAAGAAGGTTTTGAAGATTCAGAAGGCCAAGGAAAAGCTATCTTCAAAGAGCTGAAATGAAGTTGCAATCATGTAGTTGCAGGTTTCCTTCTTGATTTAGAGGAATTTTCAATGTGTTTTGAAACAAAGTTTTGGCTTCTAATGACGATGATGAATATTTGTGCAAATATGGACGATGTGGTAGATTCATCAGATGGTTTCTATCTAATGTTGTTTTATTCCGGAACAAATTATGTTCAAGAATCTATAAGCCTCTCTTTTCTCAATCAAGAGTTTCTGCTTCTGTAACACAATGATGCACATATTTCCTGGAGAACCCACAATGGTTTGATTAGAACACGAAACTTAGCTGGGGAAGCTTGACAATGTTCTTTCTTACTTTTTGCCTTTTTAATTCAAGAAGCTATTATTCTCTGGCGAGCCTTGAGCAGAAAGTGAACTCCAGTGGCAAAAATTTCCTGTCTTGGATTCCATTTGCAACACAAAGGTATTATAGTACTTCTCCAAAAAAAAGGTATTATAGCATGTTGAAGTTGAAACCTTAAAATTAACGAAAACTATTCTTTCATGAATCAAACTTTAAAAAAACGCAGTCCATTTGAAGGAACTTGGGAGAACGGGAGTAGTAAAAAAAAATTAAGGAGCGTTAAAGTACTGCTTTTAACAAACGAGTAAAGTTTCTAAATCCTCAAGCCTTAAGAAGGGAAACGCCATCACAAAAAAATAGAAAAAGAGGAAAAAAAGATTAGATTTTGTCAAGAATGGGATTCGAACCCATGCCCTTTCGGACTAGTACCTGAAACTAGCGCCTTAGACCAACTCGGCCATCTTGACTTGTTGATGAAATTTTGATTAAATCTTTATATATAAACAGATCTTTTTAGAGGTGAAATTTAACCAAAATACTAGATGAATAAATATTATATTATCACACTTTTCTCAAAAAAAAAAATAAAAAAAAAATATATTATCACACTGACTGTTTTGGATTAATCATAGATTCTATTACATACAAATGCGTAATTGTTATTATTATTATTTTTTGGAAACATGACAGGATTCTAGGTTTAACACTCGTTTGATCCAGTAAGTAATGAATTATTTGAACATCTTTATTTTCGACAGTGGATATGTGTTATATGAACAAGAAAAAAATTGGATAATCCCATGGAAGATTAGGCAAACTGAAACTCGTTTGGCCGCATTAATTATCATGATCAAAAGCACTATTAACAAATGTTAAAAGAAAAAGAAGTTTAAAGCAAGCTACAAGCCGACTAATATACTCAAATTTTTACAAGAGTGTATCTATTCAACATTTAGGGGATACATGAGATTTACAATAGTTGTCGCAGTATAATTATATTTACATGAGAGCAAATTTAGAATTTAGAAGAAGCTTTATGCAACAGGGATTTTCTGATATATTCAAGACTGACGATTACAGTTTGCTCCTTAATTATAAACATGATTTTATGTATAACACTTGTTTGAGTAAGTAGTGGAAATTTCACTAGCATTTGGTGAGTCCCATGGCAGATTAGGCAAACTGAAAGGGAATCCCATTGATCTCATTTGACCCCATTGAAGATTTTCATCATCATCACCACTATCCCTTTGACCTTTCCTCAGCCCTCCTCCTGCTGAATCATCATTCTCCATGCTGATCCCTTCTTGCATCTCTGGAGATGATGAACTGATTGAAAAGCTGTTGAAATTATGCTGTTGCGAGCCATCAAAATCGATGCTTTCTGAGTTCTTAGTGTTGAGATCGCCTAATAAGTTAGGGGATAAGTTGAACAGAATTGAGGAAACATCCAATGCACCCTTGTTTGATTGTCCTGATATATCTTCTGAGGATGAAAACAGGAAATTGTTGTTGGGAAGATCTCCATCTGGATTTGATGAAAATGGTGGCCTGAAAAAGAGCCCATTTTCTGGTTTGCAGGATGGAATGTTTAGTGCAGAAAATGTTGCATTAGAAGTAGCTTGCTGCAAATGATCATTGTTGTTACTGCAGAGCTGCATAGTTGATCCAGTTTCTGTTGTGCAAGACATATTCTCTGAGCTGTACTGAGCATAAAACATATCAGTGGATGTTTCAGGGAATTGTGCTGCTATCCAATTGTGATGAGAAAGTGCCCTGTGAGCTAAGGAGTTTGTTTTCTTAAATATTCTGCAGATTGCCCATGCATCCTGTAAAATTCATCACACAAAGGAAGAGGCAAAGTAAATATACATTAGCCTTATGTACCCGAAATGTCGAATTTTTAGATGAACTCCATAATATACAAGGACCAAACTTTTTTTTTTCCGGAAGTTAATTGAAGAAGTTAGCTTAACTTACATGAAGAGGAAGGGATTTGTCAGAGAGCTTCTTGGGTGGTGGAGCTGGTTCATTAGTGGTGGCTGTAGGTAGCCGAAACTCGTGCATCATCCAATCAGTTTTAATCCCTTTGGCAGCTCTGCCTCTGTAGAACACCAGGGATTTCTTCAGGCCAATGCATTTGGTTCCATCTGAGGAGTAAATTGGCCTATCAGTTCCCGTGGCTTTCCAAAATCCAGCCCCTGTGACGCGATTAGGCCGCGCGCTGTTTCTGTATTTACGGTCCCTTGGACAGTAGAAATACCATTCTTTCTCCCCACTAGATGCCAACTCTGTTCAACACAGAGGAGTTGAAAATGTTTTACATGGAGAAAATGGTGGCAGATTTTTCTTAATTGGAAAATTTTGTAATGTAACAGTGACTTCATGAGTACGTGTCTTCCAGATGAATGTCACATTTTGGAAATAGTAGTAATGACTAAAGTCTAGTTGATTTTGTTAGTCTATTTTTGAAAAGGACAAGCGTATTATGTTCCAGCTATTTGATTGAACAGCATTAGTTGGACAAGCAAGTTATTATCTACCGGAATTAACGAAATTCAAGTTGATGGGAAACAAAGGATAAGACAAAAATGTTGTTTGAACAGAGAAAGAATGAAAGAAGCAAAACTTACTTGGAAGATCCCATGGATCATACTTGTAAATATCAACTTGCTTAATCAGTTCAAGAGGAAGTGATCTCTGCTGAATCTTTCTTTTGAGGTAGAATCCGACGAGCTCCTCATCCGTGGGATGGAATCGAAAACCGGGCATCATAACATCGTCGATCCTGTCTGAATCAACCTTGTCTTCCATCCTTGTTTTCTTCTTTCTTGTATATAACTTTCCGGTGTATTTGGCAAAAACCAGAAAGTGGAGTTTTTCAGTCTCACTTTTTGTGCTGAATACAAGGTGGAAGTGCTTTTCTCCTAGAAGAAACACATGGCCATCCCTCTTAAAACCCTCAAGAGTTACTATTTATAGTATACAAAAATGTATATAGGATTGGAAAATGTTGAGTCTTACAGCATAGTGTAATCAGTCAACACTTGTTTCGAAGTCATCGGTATGTTTCCTGAGAAGGGTTCTGCCTCCAAAGTTTAAGCCACTTTTTTTGGTTATCTGTAGGGAAAATTTAAGGCCTTTTGAATATGGAGATCTTTTTTGCTTTGAAGAATTTGGAGCTTTAGGAATCCAAGTGAAATGGTTCTTGGATTTGGGAAGAAGCTCTAACTGGCTTCCTCTTTATGAAGATAAGTTAGAAGGGGGATTGTGGGTTTAAATCCAAATTTGTGATCTCAAAGATGAATCGTTTCTGGAGATGCGTTTTCACACCTTTCTTGATCTTCCATTGGATGTTACTGAGATCAATCAAAGACAAAATGACAAATCTGTCGTCTAATATCATTTGTTTAGAGTTTAGACATTAATAACAATATATAATCTTTGTTTGGATTGTCCTTTGTTGATTAATGATCCTATTAGCAATTAAATATTGTCGCGTTTCCTTTCTTGATTGCTCAACGTTTACCAAATTTGTGGGAATTCCTTCCACAGCCCCCACACCAAATTCTAATGTAGAATTATCTACAATAGAATAAACTATGTGAAAAATAAAAAGTTATCGCATTTTTAATGAGTTAAAATAGTACAACAAATATGACAGAAAGAGTCGTTGTATTGTACAGAAAAAATAGTTTCTACTCAATTATTCTGGGGATCGACCTCCATTCCTACCCCGTGGGATATAACTTGAGAAGTATTCAAAATAGTTAAACCAATTAATATCCTTTTGACTACAGCCAAGTGGAGAACCATGAACACACTATTAAACTTTATTGGTGAAGCCTCTAGCTAGTATTCCCGGATAACGAAGAATGATCCACAATTTTGTAGAATAACATTATAATTTGGAAGAGAATAGATAAAAATATATCCTTGACTTTTTTTTTTTTTTTCATATTTGCAAGGTGCCCACTGTCGGTAATAGTGACTAATCTCTGGCTTTTTGCACTAATAAGTAATGAATCCCACTGAAAATCTCACTAAGTGCTTCTCCATTTCATGCATGTCACAAGACTCACAACCTAGTGCTCTTGGGATTGGTAGATTGAAACATCCAATCATGCATGAAAGAGTCTCTTCTCATCACGGTTATAGTGCATATAAGTACAAATATGGTAATGTGAAAAGGAGGGAGTGATAGAAAGTTTACCCATTTATACAGAAATTGACTGTCACAAGATATTTTCTTTTATCACTAAAATGATTCGTGTGATAAGTAAAACTCATTAGAAACTACAGTTGTTAACATTTATTAGTAATCGTATTTATTGAGTCAGAATTGCACCGCCACGTTCAGCTGGACAAAGAGCTCAAGATCAACTCGAAAGAAAAAAAAAAAAATGAGAAATAGACAATTACGAGCAAAAATTATTACTCATGATTTAAAGATGAATGTGGACTAATTTTTTTAGTATAAATTATATAATTTAATGTGAATACTCTTATTGAGTTTTTTTTTTTTTTTTTGAGACACAAGAGTATTTTTTTTCTCACTCTATTAAACGATAAATAAAATTACAGCTATAGATATGCCAAGTGCAATTTGCATCCGCCATTACTAATTGCAAATTTGTACCAGTCCATCCATGATGCATCCAAGTTCTTAATATGTTCTGATCCTTTCCAAACTAATTTTATCGAACTTTTACGGTATCATTAGCCAGTTCTTAATATTATTCTACATCCTAATAAAGATAAAAGGCCAAATCAAGGTTGCAGTTAAACTTTTTTATGTGTTACTCGTACAATATAAAAGGCGAAAAGTCAAGATAAATTAAACAATTACACTACATAAATATAAGATACTAACACTATCATACGATCTAACCACAATTTATCATCAATCGGTGGAACTGTTTATTATTGATATCATTCGTGTGAAAAAGACAAATTTCAGGGAGTATAAATTAACTCCGGGAAGCTTTAAGCATATAATCTCTTCGAAAGCTACCTTCATCATTATATCCCACTGATACTGAAATATTAACGGGCTAAAATACTGTTCAAAACCCTAAAACCAAGAAGTTTGAAGCTCCTGGGTTTAAAGTACTCCCTCCGTCCTATAATTATTGTCTAGTTTGTAGTTTTAGTTCCCCTTCGTCCTATAATTATTGTCTAGTTTGTAGTTTCAGTTCTAGTACAAATTGAACTAAAAAGAAAAATTCAAAGTTGATAATAATTTTGAGATAGAGGGAGTGTATGTTGTTTTCTTAAGTATTTGTATTCGGAGCATATCAACTCAAATACTCAATCAGTTGAAAAAAATAATAATAATAAAAAATTGTATGGTTCGGTTGACTCGTGGCTTGTCTTACTCAACTCATATCGTGACAAGAATGATCGATGCTGGTAAAATTAAAACATGGTTCTAAGTCATCATTATCCCCCATAATACTATCATTTTCAATATTAGAGGTTCTTGGATTATTTCTGTTTTTTTTAAAAAAAAAAAATACGGGAAACAAAACAATAATCAGTTGAGTTGCTTGAATCAACAATGTCGTCATCAATTGATGTTTCTGTTATTCATTTTTAGTGTACACTAAAAGAGACAGAGACAATGTAGCCCTTGAAAGAAGATGTGGGAACGGGAGTTTTGGCCAAATTAATTTTTAAAGTTTTAACAAAAAAATTACAGTTATACGTCTATTTCCCGTTAAGAGTGTGAAGTTTTAGATTCTTTGTTTAGTGATTAAGGCATCCAAAACGGACAAATCAGGAGCCCATCAAGATGAAATTGACAAATGAATTGAGATGTATATGATCTATACTTGTTGCTCAATATTTTACGCATCTGCTAATTCGAATTTCGAATAAACTGTAAGTTGAATCCATAAGTTTCTTACATTGGAATGGGTCCGACAGAGAACATGTAATGCAAACTAACAAAACAAGTCTACCTGGATTTTCCGGGTACTTAAATTGATTAGTCCTTCTGACGTTGTGGCTTAAAGCTGTTTGGAAATTAGCAATGGATATTGATAGCAGAAAATGATGGGTACATTTATCAACCCAAAACACATATTTGCATTTATAGGTACAACTCGTGAGAGCAGTAACATTACCGGCCATTAAGAGTCGGTTATTAGAATTCGAAATAATATTATTCGTGTAATATACATGTACTGTTCAGTCGACGGGACTGTATACGTTTTCTACTTAAAGGAGAAGTATGCATAAACTGCGACCGATGGATCAACAATTTGCCTTTGTCAGAATCGAGCCAATTCAAAGCGACTACAGTTTTGCTACGCCAAGGAGTCTGCGATGACCCACGTAAGCCTCACTTGATTAAATCATTTTACTTTGCTCCCATTAATCCCTCCAAATATGGAGTCAAGTTTAAAATTTATTAACGTTTCTTATAAGTTGAAAAGGTCCATTATCACAATTTTATTTTATTTCTCTTGCTTGAATTATTTTTCATTTATTACACTTAAACTGGGCTATTGTTTTCGTGGAGCATTTTTATCACCCAGACTACCTTTGGAATAAACTAGTCTCTAATTATGACCTGAAATAACTGTTTTCAATTTATATAATTGAGTATATTGATACTTATTCTATCAATTTCAACTAACCAAAAAATCACATAATTTACAATATATGTCGTAATTGGAACTTGGAAGGACAGATTTGGTGTATTTTATGGGGGAGCAACCCTCGATTTTTTTTAGCTCAAAAAAATGTGTACATACTGATCATTGATACGCCGTTATCTTACTACGTACGTACGTACTTTCGGTTTTATTTATTCGTACACATTTCAGCGTACACATGGCAACAAATCTCCTAATACTATTGTTTTACACCATTTCCTACATCATTTATCAAGATTGTGATACATGATCACGACAGGTTCATCCAATAGCAGGTTAGGATGTTAGTAAAATTTTAAAAAAGAAAAATAATAATTAAATATAAAAAATTTTATATTATAATGATAGTTTATTAGGAAGTATTGTATAATTGTGGTGTAGGAAATCTTTAGTCCACATTTTACTACTTCCGACCTTATTTATGACGTGTATATTTAAAACAAAATTTAGTGTTAATTTGTGACTTATAATAGAATCTAAACTATAGCCTCACCTTTTTTTGTTCCAAATCTGTTGTCAACAAAACTATTTCCTGTTACTTACCCTGAAATGACTCAAGAAGTGTTTGTATATATCACATCCAAATCAATCTTTCTCTCATGTTTTCTTGGATTCCTTCTTAAAAATAATTGATATTTTATTGCTAACACAGTGCAAAGTGGTACAATTTTATACAATTTTCAGGGTATATCTATCTATCAATCTCTATCATAATACTCTAATAGTACCAAAAAGAATGCCCATCTGCTTTAGTTTATGGGACAACTCCAATATCTTGCAAGACGACTTCATCTCAAATATTTCAATCTTCTAACACTTTAGAGTTTAGATACATATAGCTCAGACTTATTCTTAACCAGCAATGAGATTTGATTATAATGAGGAGAACATTGACAGAGACAGAAAATGTAAGGCCAACTTGGAAACTAGATTTTCACCGCAATGCTTGTAGCAGAAGCGAAAAAATGGAACTAACGGCTAAAGCTCACCGGTTTGTTGTCCACTATCACGTTCAAGTCAACATGTAAGCTGGAGGTTTCACAAAGAAGACCCAAGTAATTAACTTATGAATTTATAACTTGTGCTTTGTTGGTTAATTATGCTAGTAATTAGTATAATCAAACAGTCTCGCGTATCCTTTCTTGATTGCTCATAGTTTGCCAAATTTGTGGAAAAACCTTCGACAGCCCCACGATAAAAATCTATTCTCCTCCGTCTCGAAATAATAGTTACGTTTGTATAGTCATAGTAATACAAAGATTAATAAAGATTAAAATTTAAAAGGCCAAATTAAAGTTGCAGTTTTTTTGCATAATCATTGGTGAAAAGACAAAATCAGAGAGTATAAATTAGAGTAATGATATAGACAGTGACAAATTATAGTGAACTGGAATAGTGATTAATAAAAAGACAAATATCATTTTCACTAAATATATGTACTTATTAATTAGGAGTAAAAATGTAATGTTTAGGGAAAGATATAATTTCAACGGGAAAAGTGACAAAAAAACTAGGAGCCAAGAATACTTTACTTCACTCACCATCTTTTTTCACCATACAAATTATTTTATTATAAATTAACCGGGGGAAGGGGGGAACTTCAGCATATAATCTATTGGAAAGCTACCTTCATGCATTATCATATTCCACCCATAATGAGATGCTAGATGTTTGGCCCAAGTAGATGCCCGGGCGCCCCTCCTAAATTACTATTTTATTAAAATCTAATTGAATTACTATTTTTTGAGGAATTAATTTGGCGTATATATCATTTATGCTATGATGTGGGGCTTAAAAAAATATAACTATAAATCTGAGGTTATAAGGGAATAATAAATAATTAGTTTATAAGGCATTATTCTTAATTGCTAGATTTAGGTATTTTTATTTTTTTGTTTATATTAAGCCTGCAAAACTATACGATTGGACATTTGAATTTGAATTAATATATCCATTCGTTTGAAATGTAACTGATCTTTATTTGTAGTAAAACATGTGTTTTTTTTTTAAAAAAATATATAACTTCTAATTAAAAGAGACTTACACGTGGCAAAAAGACTCCTGAAATCTGAAATATGGTGCTTTGGAGCCAAAACAGATGCATACTTAGTTGCCACATAAGCTTCATGTCTTCTGCTTTAATAGGGTAAAAGGGATTTGCAGCTGGTTGAAATACTGTTCAAACCCTATCTTTAAGTCTGCCCATTTTAAATTTTTTTAAAAAATATTTATTATCACTTTTTTTGCCTCAAAATAATTTGTTTTGATTGAAACTAAAATAGTAAAAGACGTAACAAATGGCTTCATCACAACTAAAGCTGTAACAGGGATAATAAACCCCGACAATATCATTAGCGGTGGGATAATTAAGAATACTCCTCTTTTAAGTCTGCCCACATTTTTTAAATCCTTGCAGAAGTGGAAGTGTGGGTGAATTCTTGGTTCCTAATATTTTTGTATTCGGATGATTTAGATATCTATATCAGCTCAAGCCGTAAAAAATGAATGAAATGATTGGGTTGATTCCTGAATTGTCTTACTCAAATTAAGTACTGACACGGATAATTGATGCGGGAAAATTAAAACATGGTATTATCCCTACAATACTATCGTTTTCAATATTAAAAAAACAGGTGCATCCAGCTCTGTTTAACCAATTCTTGAAAGTTCTTTTGCTTCGCTCCACATATTTAAGTATTTGAAGGGCCTGGTTTGTTTTTTATTAAATGTTTCACCAAATAGTTGAAAGTGGTCTGGAATTCCTGCCGGCATCACAGTGGTAGTAGATTCATTAAAAGTATCTAGCTTACCGGAGATTCTGCTCTCTCCAACTTGCTTATTGCACCAGGTATATATATAACTGTTCTCTCCAAATCTTGTAAATTCACATTCCTCCAGAGAGCAAAACTGTCTTACCTCCAAGCTTTTCATCAGCCTTACGTATATTGTTGAAATCCCCCATGACAACCCATGCTCCATTTCCGACAATTCCCACTAATGGCTTACATAAGAATCTTTGACAAAAAAAAAAAAAAAAACCTCGGGTTTTCGAAAATCCGAATTACTTTTAAAAAAGAACGAAAAAGAAAAATTCTTAAAGACGGGAAATTTCGAAAATATATACTGTTTCAGCATCGGATTTTCGGAATCAGACTTAATTACTGGCCATTGTGATAGGAATTTGTATTAAATTGACCTCCGATGACCCGAAATTCATTCCTACTATATCAATCTCTATGCTACTAGCAAAAAAGAATAGCTGAAATGGGATCAGACCATTTGCTGCTCTAGTTTAAGCGGCAACTCCAATGTCTCACTTCCTCTTCGTATTTGCAACACAACTTCATCACCAATATTGTAATCTTCGAACACTTTAGATAGCTCAGACTTATTCTTAACCTGCAACAAGATTTGACGAGTATTAGGAGACTATTAATAGCGACCGAAAATGCAGAGCCAAATTTGAAAACTAAGTGCTCTTTTTGCTCAATTAGCTTCATTGGATGCGGATTTTCATATCATTGACTAGCATCCACAGCAACAATTCTGGCAGGAGCAAAATGGAAGGGAAGCTCACCGGTTTGTTGTCCACTGCCACTATTACATCGCCAAGTATAATATTCCCAGCAAAACCCCTTGATGTAGGAATAAGACCCGCCTTGGCTGCAACACTGTCTTTGGGGACCTTTGTCAAGAAAAAGTGAATTAGACTTAGAGAGAAGTAAGTGATAATTATAACTTAATTAAAGCTCTGTATAACAAGAACTCAAGTTTATATCACATATTTTCCAGAAATTATGACAGCAACTACCATGTCTTAGTTAACAGCACTATAAGCTATTACCTGCAAAATAAGAGCTCCATTTTGAACATTGAGTTGACTTGCAACCAGGTCTGGAGCAATTTCAATGTTTAAACCAGCTCGAACAGCCTTACATCCAAGGTAAAACAGAACAAAGACGTCAGTCAGAAATAAATAAAACTACATAATAAGTGTTCATTATCACATAGATGAAACCAAAAGATAGAAGTACAAATAAGAGGGCATACTTTGCCATATCGGATAAGCTGAGGTACTATCTTAGATACAGTAGAGGATGGAATTGCAAACCCAACACCAGCAGAGGTTCCTGGTCACATTCAAGTCAACATGTAAGTTACTTTAAACTGGAGGTTTCACTAAGACTACACAAGTTAGCTTATGAGTTAAGAACGAGTGAATAGATTGTTCTAGTCTCTTCTGCGTTCAACCTTGGCACCAGTAAATATGAGCATCACCTCTCGCACATAATTTAAAATATTAAAGCAGCTAAATAAATGCTAGAGGGAAAGATACCTGTCTGAGTAAAAATTGCTGTATTAATCCCAATTAAATTTCCTTTTGAATCCAACAAAGGGCCACCACTGCAATGAATGAGAAAACTCAATGAAATAAGAGCAAGAACATATGATGAGAAAATTTGAAGATTCTACTATCACCTGTTTCCAGGATTGATGGCAGCATCTGTTTGGATTCCACCAGCAATAGTAACTCCAGTTTGACTAAATATGTCTCGATTAAGTCCACTAATGACCCCAACAGTGAGTGTGTGATCAAAACCAAATGGATTTCCAATTGCTAAGCAAAGTTGGCCAACTTTTAAGGAAGAGGAAGACCCAACTTTGATTGGCCTCAAAAGATCTTCAGATGCTTCCACCTGGAAATGACATAAAGTTTTGAGTTACCTAAATCGAGAATTAGAGATAAAATTAACAAAGTAAAACGAGAGTCAACTTTTCATATAAGATTGAACAACTGACTAGAAACATCAAAGCAGTATATCCACCGGATTCCGTCATACAATGCAATATATGTGATAAAGAGCCACAATTAGATTAGGTACAAGCATCCACTCAGCAAAGACTTCAGTGGCAGAAACATTGAGATAAGTCATCTTATGCAGTTAACAACCGCTATGGTATTATTGGCACTAATGTTGACATTTATACCTAGGGTGTGCTATCCAGAATGCTAATACTTAAAACGATAGTTCAGCTTCCAGTTAAAAAGACAAATCTTTGGCAAAAGTATTAATCGAGCAACAATTACAACAAATCTTAGTCCACAAAGATTATCAAATTTCACGGTGAAAAGAATGGTTTTAGCAAGTACTTCACCTTTAAAACAGCAAGATCCTTCGCACGATCTGCACCAACTAACCTACCTTCAAAATTCTTTTGGACTCTGTGAGAGTAGAAAAGCTAAAAAACATCAATGAAACAGGATGAATCGATCATGTACAAGGAAGCTTGTCAAACTACATGGTATTCTACTTCACAAAATATGGCTAAAGCTAAATATGTCTCTCACCCTTCTGAAGCAAGAATGTTGACTCGTGCAACAACCTGTCCAATGCTTGGGTTTCTTGAAAGGGAACTACCAATCACTGCATATATGTAAGTAAATCATCAGAATTGAAAAGGTGAAGAACATCGAGTAATGCCACATACAAGACCATGGAACTACATTTTGGCAAGATAACGAGACCCCTTTGCTAACAACTGCATAAAAGACATGGGGCTCTTACCGTGATAATTTGTCACAATGTGCCCTAGTCCATCCCAAACTATTCCAGAACCATTCCCTTCAGGAACCTGCAGGATTAAATAATCATCACAACTCTGTCTATTTAGCCGATTACTTGGGGACCAAACAAACTAAAGTTTTAACCACTAACACATTAATAGAAAAGGTAAAAGTTTATTAAACTAGAGTTTAAATTTCAACAGTAAGAGGAATACCTCAACCACACCGGTTAAATTAAGCTGGGGCCGCAATGTTACATCAAATATGTTGACAACGGAATAAGTATTTTCCTCAAAAAGCTGCACAAGTCTCGCCTGCAAGTACAGCAATTTCATTCACAGGCGTAGGCAGAACAGCGTTTTTGAAATAATCACTCTAGACATTGATAAGGATGGAAGCAGACCTCATTAGGAAGAAGTGGCCCTGGAGGAGCCACAGGAGGTGTCACTTGTTCCAGTGTCACAGAGGGATCTCCCAATCCATATGCTTCATAGAAATCAAAATCCAGTATCAGAACTCAGAAACTTACATGAAACTATATGGAGCTGGATTCCGGTAGTCAGCACAATCTTATTGTAGGAGCAGATTTTACTCTTTCTTTCCCTTTCAATGGCCAAATTTTAATTACCTAAGACTATCAACTTACTCCACTAAGCTAAAATGCTACTTCAAATTAGCAAGACGGAATGACATGGAACAGTCCATTATTATCACAATATACCGAGCTTTCCAAACCAGTGAAGCGAAAATGACAAGAAGCTAGTTGATTATTGGCACGAACAACAAATTCTTTTCAAATTAAAAAATAATAATAAGAAGTCTGAATACCTAATAGGTTGAGCTGAGTTAGACAGTGAGAATGCTAAAAAAGTGCGAACCTGACCTTGAAGGGTGATAACCCAAGAACGCAAACAGACCGGCGATCAATGTCCGACGTGTGGTGGGAGTGATACTTTTTCGTAGAAACCCGCCAAAACTTTTGCCATGCATATCAATTTCGACAGCCCTAATTAACAGATAAACAATTACCCAAGTCATTATTATACTGAAAAAAAATCAAAATCGAAATGTAGCAAGCAATCCAAATGTCAATACGGTGAAATTCCTAAATTTTGGTGCTATACTTACAGAGGAGCTGGAATTTTAAATTGCGCAGGGAAAGAATTCCTCACGGCGCCGTCCATTGCCGGACCCTGCTCGGAGCAGCAGCTGCAGAGAGATGAAATGCCATCAAAGCAGAGCTCCCGGCGACCCAGAAACGAGGTTCTTGAAGAATGAATTCCAGTGGTTGCTAATGTTACTAATTGCATTTTCCGATGATTCTTTGGACAATATTCAGGTAGAGAATGACTCTCTCTGTTTTTCTGTGTTGCAGAGAAACTGGCAGTTGATGAAGATAGGCTACATCCAGATTTTTTTTTTCCTTCGGTTAATTTGGCGTTTGCCCGCCGTGGTTTGCGCTTCCGACCGGCTTGGGGATTGTTGTTGAAGTGAGCCCAATATTGGCCCATTATTGAGGACGGATGTGGCCCATATTGACTTCAAAATACATTTTCAGCGGACATTCATTGAACTTTCTTTTATAAAATTCACAATTTATTACAGTGGGTTAATTTTTTTTTAGGATAAATAGAGTAGTAATATTTATTGCGAAATACTATAAACTTTTTATTTTTGCTCAATCAAGTAGGGAAGAAAAGAAAACATGGTACAAGTCCTTGATTTTACTTAGTTTAATTTTGTTAAGGGTCATTGTCTAATTTTTTGACCTCGTAAGGATGTTACTAGGGAATCATAAGTATAAAGAAAAACCTTAATCATACTTTTATTTTTAGAGATGAAAAATTCCCAGAATATCAAGAGATGAATATAAAATACTTTGTCCGGTCTTGCATAGGTAAGGCATCAATTGAAACTAAATTTAAATAAAAAATAAAATAAAATTATCCATCTGAAAATTAATGAAGCAGTTGTTAGCTAGCTAGGAAGAGATATGTTTTTAACTATGTATTTAATACGATAATATGTTCACCATTATCTACTGATGAGTGCTGACACAATTATTACGGATGAAATCAAAAGAAATTGATAAATAGGGGATTGTAAATAATACTTCCCTAACCATATAATTGTTGAATTTGGATTATTATTTTTTATACAAATTGTATTAAAAAATAAAAAAATTAATTTTGAAGCAGAGAGTATAACCAGGAAATATTTGAGATGATGATGCAATTATTGCACACGGAAAGAACCGGAAAATGTAACTGGGTAAATATAGAAAACTTGCCTGATGATGATTTATGACTTCGTTCTGACCGACAAAAATGATAAAATGAGCTTCATGATTTTGCAAAAAAAAAAAAACCTACTACTATCTAATAACACTGCAAAAATATTAGCTATATTACCCGGATTTTTTCTTTTTTATACGCACTAGTATGTGTGCCGTACTTTGCGCGGGTTTGTCAATGTTGAAAATTTATCTTTCAAAAGTATTAATTAGATAATGTAATTATTAATATTTCTTAAAATCGTAATATTTTTTTGATTAATCAATTTTAAATCAAAATGAGAGGTATTGATATTATTTATGAGATGTATATTTGTAAGATCTGATAAAAAATATTACAACATAGATTTTTAGAAGTTGTATAATAAAAATTGTCACCATTAACTAATGTTCTGTTTGGATTAAAAATATATTTAAAAAATACGTAAATTATGTCTAGATACTTATGAACTATTTATAGGCAAGGGGACTTTGGAGATTAGATGTAGTTCTCATAAAATATGACACACAATTAATCGTCCTTGAAAATGAAAAATTGATAAATTTGAAGACTAAGTAACGCGCAAATGAAACTTTAAGGGCCAAAGTGACAATAGGTTGAAAGTTTAAACTTGTAAATGCAAAGACTTCTGAAGTCGGGGGTTTTTCAACAATTTTTGAAAATATTCATTTTCAATGTCTCAATCAGGAATTTGTAATATCTGTAAAAAAAATCTTATATAGTAAATAATAAATATTAACTGTTTACATCAATTTTTAACTGATTAATGATCATCCAATTAGCAAATGACACGTGTTAATTGAGCCTTGATGGTCTCAATGAACGACATGCGTCGATTATCTTTCTTTCCTTTAATATATATAATAATGATATGACCCGATTCAAAATAAGAATTTTATTCAGTGAATTAAAAATGTGTAAAAATACAATAATTATTTTGGGATGAAAAAATAAATTTGTTAAAATTGTCAGGATAATGATTCGAGGTGAGAAACTGAGCAGCAAATTAATAACACGTACTCGCTACGTACGTAACTTGGACTATCGATCGAGTAGAGACGCATGAGTTGCGAATTTTTGCAGTATGGACGTGGCTTAACCTTGCAATATCGTGGTGGTGGTGCTGATTTTGTGATTTTTTATTTTTATTTTTTTTGGTTTATATGATTTACGAATTTCTGAGCTTATTTCATTGAGATAATAAAATCATCAAAATGAATGAAATCCATGAAGATCAGAAGTAATGAAACACCATAAAAAAAATTGAGAGAAATTATCACATTTTCAGCATGACAGATAGCCATATCACTAACATGAATTTCATGCCCACAAAAGTACTCGTAAGTTTGATCCTTAATCTCGAGATGATAAAGTAAGAAATTAACCACAACGCTGATCAAAAGCATCTGGCAATATCAAAGGAAAATTAAAAACGGATCATGGATCATCAATGTGGTGCTGCTGATTTCCTCAATGATCTCACTTTACCGACTAACCACGACCAAACCCACCCTTATCCTGATCATCATCATCAATTCCTGGTGTAAAAATACTCCTAACTAGCTAGTTCTCAGATAAACATGGGGCGGGTGGTAATATTGTTATGTCATCTAAACCAAAAGCTATGTACATTGAGGTAATTAAATGGTCTCTAGATTTTCTACACTACTTCATTTCCAAACAATATTCTTATTCTGAAATGGTCTCTCTAGACTTTCTAGACAATTCTATTTCTAAAAAAAATATTTTTATTCTGAAACGGATGAATTATCACATGTACGTCAGAATTTGTTATGGTTTATCTTTTTCTTTTTTCAGTACAAAGAAAGAGACTATCGCCTAACAAGTTTAAATTAAAACGTTTCGCGGATAGGAGATACCGATAACATCGTGCTCTAACCACAACTTCACACCAGAAGGCGGGTTATTCACCCAATACAAACCTACTGGGTAACTACTTGCTAAATATGTCAAATAATCTACTGTGAAATTTGAATCCCTAAAAATATGATTAATTCGTAGAGTCCAATTTCGGCTAGCCAAATCACAAATAGCTCGAACCAAGCTCCCATGTATGCCAGTGAAATCTTTATTCTCGATCATCTTCACCACACAAATATAAGATTTTTTTATTTATCATAAATTTCACTTAGTAAGCCTTTTTAATTGGAAAAAAAAAAGAAGTTTAAAAATATTTTTTAATAATTAGAAGAATATAAAGAATGTGAAGATATATTTTTGAGATTTATTTTTCATCTCAAAATACATATTAAGTAAAATATAAGACAAATCAAAATGGCTTATAGTAAGGAGAGGAGGGAGTATTAACATTATTTTTCTGTTCGAGTTCGAGATAATTGTGTCTTCTTGTCTTTGATATGATGATATTAGGAAAATGTATCGCTCGGTTGAACATCACACTTCAAGATAAATGTGACCAGAATTACCCAGGCGAGTGATCATCCTATATATACAAAGTAAAAATCTAATCATTGATTAATTAAGGACATAAATAGTCAGGAGAATTTTACTTCCTAAATCTAACTTAATTAAATACCATATGTAGTAACATTACAAGAAATAATAATAATAATAATAATAATAATAATAATAATAATAATAATAATAATAATAATAATAATAATAATAATAATAGGAATAATAATAACACGATAAAGAGGATGGGGGGTAAAAGTGAAAGGGGAGTACTACTGGAGAGGACTCCAATCTTCACCTTCCGTTTTCCGACAATGGTTACGAAGATGACATTAAAAAGGTAGAAGCCAAAACCTCAACCACTTTGATCATGTCATAAACCATGTGAATTTTATGTAACCCCCCGAACACCAAATCAAACTTAAACATGAATTCTCTTCCTTCAAACCCCTATAAATACCTCCCCAGAATCCCTCCATTTTCCTCACACAGCAATACCATATTTTACAGCAAAAAAAAAAAAAAACCAAAATCTTTTCTTTTGTTTGTTAAGAGAAATCCAATCATGAAGCGTGGAGTTTCGGTGGTGAGTTTCGTGGTGGTGCTTTGCATGGTCCTGATGACGGCCAGGCAAGCCCAAGCCGCAATCAACTGCGGCCAAGTCACCGGAGCTCTGGCTCCTTGCCTATCCTACCTAATCGGAAGCGGAGGGACCCCGACCGCCGGATGTTGCGCCGGAGTGAGGCGTCTGCAGTCCCTGGCCGCCACCCAAGCCGACCGCCGGACGGCGTGCAACTGTGTCAAATCCGCCGCCTCCGGCTACAGCAACCTCAGGCCTGACAGGGCTTCCGGTCTTCCCGGAAAATGCGGAGTCAAATTCAATTTCAACATCTCCCCCTCCACCAACTGCAACAGGTAATTCAAATTTCTCTCCCTCGTTATTTCCATTTATCATCAAATTAATCTCTTTTTAGATGTATATAATCATTAATTATTAACCTTGTTAATTGGGTTGCTTATTGTTTTTTTTTTTTTCCTTGTCTTCTTCATTTTGCAGCATTCCATGAAGAGTTTTCCTACAGAGAGATCATATATGAATAATGGGCACAAACATTTCGGGCTATAGTTGCGGATTTTTTTTAACATTATTATATGTTATTAATTAGCAGTTATGGTTTTGATGTTTGTGTTCTTTAATTTCTTGGCGTTGTACTAATTAAGTTGAGTTGCGCCCTATGGGCCTTTCTTCACTTAATAATCGACACTTTTTTCATATACTCCTACGTTATTATTTATAGTCATATTTACAACTTTTATTACATTCACAAATGGAACAATCAAATTAAGTTAGTATGTGTATATATATGATATATGCAATCGTATTAATCAAAATCTACAAAACGAAACTCCTCCACACTCAAATCAATATATACCGGAAACTCAAGCAGCCATGCAGACAACATAATTTTACGTCATTTGAAATCTTACACTAATAATCATATAAAACCCCTGAAAAATTCTTATCAAGGGCAGTTATATATTTAGAAATTTTAAAAGTATAATTTTTAAAACTAAGTATTGTTCCCGCACATTGCGCGGCATATTAATCATGAATAACTTTTATAGATTGATTACTTTTTTTGGATGCATAATGATGTCTTTACTTTCAATATACGTTCACCTATTTTTTATATCATTCGATTACAAAAACTGACAAATATTTTCATGTTTATAGTTTACATTCAAAATTAAATTATTTTCACTGATTGAATAAGACTATTTTTGTACACAAATTAATGATAGAATAAAAAGTTCTCTGAATTCACATTACTGGGCTCATAAAATTATATTACATAATAGAGATTATGATTATTCGATGTTGACTACTTTTCTGGAATAGAGGCAGTATTTCAAAACACTAAACAATGGGAGAAATTTAAAAGAGTAGAAGAAATTTTGCAAAACCGAGAAATATGACAATTACATAAAAAGATTTCAGGAAGAAATATATTTACTTTAGTAAATGAGTTTACATTTATCTTAGTTATTATATTCGATTTCAAAAAAAAAAAAATTGCTATCTTTGTATTAAGCCTTGATTATCTATTGAGGCAAGTTTTAAAATTTATAATTCGGAAAGATGAAAAAATGGTTTTCAAGCCGAATTGATTCCGTCAGTCAAAAACAAATTATTACGCTGGACCGGAGACCGAATCGGCCTTCTTATTTGGGTTACCGGTTTACTGGTTTAAATAGGTATAATCAGCCTTTAAAACTGGATGATGTCATTATTATATAATAAATTAATTTAACAATTACAAATAAACTAAATTAAATACTAAGAAATTTGGTTGCAGCTTTAAGTATTATGTTAAATTTTCGAGTCATTTTACCAATAGTCTAAACTAAGGGGATCATAACATAATTTTATAAATTTCAATTGAAAAACTAACCTACCCATCCCCTCCCCAGCCGCCACTCAAATTTCTTTCTCTCTTCTTAATTTCGCAGAGGCAAGCCGCCGCCCACCAGAGGTTCAGGCTCCGCAGAAGAGAAATTCAACGGCGATTGGGCATAATCGGAAAAATTCAACGACGAAGGATTACTCAGAACTGCATTAGTTATAGGCGATTTCAGGAAATCATTGAGCGAACTCGGCAGTGAAGAAGAAGAAAGAAGGTGCTTTAGACCGTCGACCATTGCAGTAAGATTATAGCCAATTTCATGAAGGGATTTCAAAGGCGGCGGAGGCGCGTAAGCCCGGGAAGGAGACGTAATTCTGCCGCGTCCGGTTGACAGGAAAGGTTCATTCTCTGCCAGAAAATCTTGAACCACCCTTCTTCTTCATTTTTCTGATTTTTTTCTTTTTCTTAACACGATTGCCGGATTCATTCTTATCTCAAGGGGGAAAAAAAAATAAAACAGATTTAGAAAATGCAAATTGAGGGAGAGAATATGACCAGTTTCGTCAAATTGAATGGATCATCGACGATGATCTTACCGGGAAGATCAGAAGTAGTCGCAGATATTGGAATAATCAGAGCAATCAAATACTGTTCTTGACCGGAATTTTGAGTAAAGCGTCGGGAAAGAAAAATATTAGTCACCGGTCATTTTCATGATTCCGAGCAATTTTCTAATTCTAAGAAAGTTATTTGTTTAGAAAAATTAACTATTTTACCATGTTTAAGATTATCATTTTACTTGTATAAAATATCCAGTTAAAAAATTCACGAATTAGAAGATGACATGTGTACTACAAAAAAATCTTAACGAATTAAAAAATGACACGTGTATTTAAAATTTATCGATGGTCTAATTGAGTGGCATTTGTCTTTTGAAAAAAATTACTTTAATACTCCCTCTGTCCCAAAATTATTGTCCAATTTGATATTTCACTTCTAGTATAATTTTAACTAGAAATGAAAACCCAAACTAGACAATAATTATGGGACGGAGGGAGGGAGTATATAGTAAGATTCTTCTTAAGAGCGTAAAACTAATTTGAAAGAGTACTGATATTTATTGCTCGTGACATACCTACCCTTTTATTAAGGTAACTACAACACTGTTGCCAAATTTTCCCGAATCAATAATCAAACATGAATTCTTCCTTTAAAACTCAATCATACGGCTTGTTTTCAGACCTGGGAATTGTTGAGATTTCGGATCAAGTCCGGTGTGCTTGGCATCCTCACCAATTTCGGCCGGTACGTTGGAAAATATCCCAGTGTTGATTATGTTCCCAAAAGGATCGCTTGTCGACATTTTTTTTTTTTCTTATCTCACTCTATTAATTCTTAGTTTTAGGGTATGTTTGTTTTGTTCTTTTAATGTGTATTTTTAGGTGTTTAGTCTATTGGGAATGTAAAAAGATATGCTGAAATGAGAAAGTTATTATTATTTAAGTTTGAAAAAACCAACTAAAAAAGAAAACAAACAAACCCTAATTTCAATCAAACCTTGACATTGACTAATGAGTTTGAATTGACTACTAAATTTGGTGAAAGTTTCTGGATTCATTTTATGAATTAATGCTCATTAGACAATAAAAATCTTAGGGTATAGTTCCAGTCTTCCACACATTACCACAATCCACGATCAAAAAATTGATCACAAATAGTGGGAAGGAACTGGCCAATAAATTAGTGAGTAGAATGGTGTGTTTCATTAGAGTAAATTGTATTCAATTCTAACCAACAATTTGTAAAGTGGAATTTATGTGAGGTTCACTTGAGTAAAAAATAAAAATAAAAAATCACAAATGGCGAAAAAGAATTAATATAAACATACCTTTTCGGCCATTGAATTCGAATTAAGTTCATTGTCTTTCAGGAATCAATTCTCAATATTATTTACAAATCATAAACACCCTAACAGGAAAAGTCTTTTTTTCATCCTTTTTTTTTTTTGGTTAGAATTCGGTCCTTTTATGTTCGTGTATTTGGGAATTGAACAATAGTCTAGTAGCTAGGATGTTGTGTTTTCTGGTATTAGACTTGAGTTCAATTCCCACCAAGGATATGTAAGGGGGAGTTTTACCCGCATTTAAGTGGGGTTCAGTAGAATGGATTTTTTTTAAAAAAAAATATTCGTATATTTTTTTTTAACTATTATGAAAATTATTTACATATTTCTTCTTGTAATAAAAGCCAAAGCCAAGCACACACAAAGGATAAAAAATCACAATCTACTTCTATGTCGACCAACACGATGGTAGAGAGGTGTGACATATACAAAGATGACACAAAAAAAAATTTGGGGAAATTTTTTTTTATAAATCTATGTGCAATGTACTAAAAAAAAATTCAAACTGAATAATAATAATTAAAAATAAAAATTCAAACTGGTCAATAATTTTGAGACGAAGAGAGTAATATTTAATAATAGTAAAAATACCAAGCGCTGCTAGTGACAGCGCCCCCGTGCGGTAAATAACAATAATTTTGTTAATATATATGACATAAGCATTTGAATTAATTTAGAGTTTAGTAATTTATTTTATTCATGTTAAAATTATTAAATATTTTTACAAAAACACAAAACATGAAATATAAAAAAAAAACACTATAAAAACTCAAAATTAAATAAAACTTAAAAAAACAAATAAACGCATAACTTGACGCATTTACAACAATTAAACTTTTTGCCATTTTTTTAAATTTTTGAAAATGAGGCGGTCCTCAAGTACCTATATGGCATCAGAAATGAGGTCATATAATATGTGAAGCTCTGTCAAGTCTGATGAGAGAAAGAAGACTTTCCAAACCTTCAACCTCCATCAGCTTTCCGACAATGTGGTTTCGAAGATGATGAGTAAGAAAATTAATCCAAATCCTCAACCACTCTATTAGTTTCCTCATTTCATGCGTCCGCCGTCTGAATTCCTGCAAAACTTTAACATGAATTCTCTTCCTCCTTAAAAGAAACAGCTGTATAAATACCACCCCGAAATCCCTCCATTCATTCCTCACAAGCTGAAAAAAGAAGGGTAAAAAAAACAAAAAAATCAGAGTCTAAATACTAAGTTTTTAAACTTTAAAGAAGCCAAAATGATGAAGGGTGGAATTTCAATTGTGGGTTTTGTGGTGGTGCTTTGCATGGTTCTAATGACGGTCACGCAATCTCAGGCAGCAATCAGTTGTGGCCAAGTCACCGGATCTTTGGTTCCGTGCATATCGTACCTTTCGGGAAGTGGTGGAGCTCCTGACGGCCAATGTTGCGCCGGAGTGAAGCGTTTGCAGTCGCTTGCCACCACGCAAGCCGACCGCCGGACGGCATGCAACTGTGTGAAGAACGCCGCCTCACGTTACACCAACCTCAGGGCTGACCGGGCCTCCGGTCTGCCTTCACGTTGCGGAGTTAGCTTCAATTACAACATCTCCCCCTCCACCAACTGCAACTCGTACGTCGTCCCACTAATTAAATTAATTCCCCTGCATTTATTATTTTCTTGTTCCCCCTTTCTTTTCTTTCTTTTTTTTTTTTCTTTTCCTTCTTCTTCTTCTTCTTCTTCTTCTTCCTGATTTTGGTGATCTAATAATTGTTTGCAGCATTCCTTGAAGACGTTTTTTGGTAACGAGATCATATGGAATAAATAATCGGCTCGCAAATTGTTTTGGGCCTTGCTGCGGATCATAATTTTTTATGTCTTTTTAGCAATTAGAACCTCGTGATTTTGTATCTTATACAAATATGTTTATGGCCTTCGTTCACGTCTTCTTGTTCTTTTTTCTTCTTTTTTCTTCCGTACGTTAATGTCTTTTTTGTTTTTGGCAAATAAAGATCTAATAAAAAAAAA